ATTCTTTTCGTAAATCAATTTCTCGATCAACCAGCGAAGCATGTACGCGCATAGTCGTGCCATTATTGGCAATAACAGTGTTACAGCAGCCCATCCAGCCAGCCAGAGGCCTCTCTCTCCTCTTCCCTCGTCGCGGAATCGAGCTTTCTCCTCGTCTCGTAGGAGCGGCTCCTCTCCGCACCAGTCTCCTCGCTCTCTCATGAGGCGAAACTCAATTCCCTAGAGCGTGCGGAACGAAGAGGGTGCGCGTACACTTTGCTTGCTCCCGCTACACAAGACGAAATTTCATTCCCGCCCGCGCCCATCCTGTGCCCGGTAATTGTGCACGCGAAGCAACCTGAAACCTGCATTTGCCCTGTAGGTTCGCAAAGGAGCGCCACCTCCTGTCCCCGCCGTCACCCCCTGCCCCCAAGATACCAGCTACGACCCCGCTTTGGCCGTCTGCCCCCAAGACGATATCGTTCCCAGCACCATCCTACCGTGATTTATCGTCGACCAAAACAAATTGGAAGAAAATCATTCGATGCTATAGAAAGAACAAATTTAATTTTGTACAACGTTTTTTCAATAACATACACGTTGATTTGGAAGATTCTGAACCAGCAACTCTCGAAGGAACTTTCGTAAGCGCGAACGCGTTCTATGAAAAATTGATTTTCCTTCGAGGACGATTATCGTGGAGGAGGTTGCGGCGCAACAATCCTCCACCCACGGGATTTGCGGGATAATCTGAGCTTGCGAGAAGAAGGAACAAGGAGCCGTTCGTACGACCTTCTATTCGACGAGAAAGGCGGTGGGTGAGGAGGGTGAAAGAGGGTGTTCGGCCGGAAAGGCAAAAGCTGAGGAAAGGAAAACAGCGGACGTAGGGAAACAGAGCCGCTAACGTCGTTGGAAACTTGAAGCGGGACCGGCACAATAAGACGGCTCAATGAAAAGCGTCCTTTACTGCGGCTGCATCGTGAATGCTTATATGCCGTTCTCCAACGGTTTCTCTCTTTCCCTCTTCACCCGAATCCGTGCTGTTTCGCTCTGTTTCTCTCTTTCTCTCTTTCTCGCTCCACGTGGCTCGTCGTTTCGTCGTCGCTATTTGCGCGATATCTCGCTCGTTGGGTGCCGGCTCAGCCAATGAAAGCGCGCGGAGGCGAGCTTTTACGGCGTTCTTACGGTATGGCGGGGATTGCAGGGGGTTGGGACCGCTGCCTCCGCAACGTTCTTATTGTTTCAGCCAGCCGAGCCACCCTCGGCAACCACCCCACAGCCTCGCAACCATCCTCCCGGCACCGCTACGCCGGTTTACTCCCTCTTCCCTGGCTGCCGCGGCACTGTGCTTAGAATTTTAATGGACCGGCTTAGAAATTGTTGGCGGAATTAGATTTTAGGACGAGATTAGGCGGGGCTGCTCTCGAAATTACTGCAAGGAGCACGGGAGAAAACGGAACGGGTGGCTGGCCGGGCGGTGTTCGCGCGAAAGAGGCCTCTCCATGGATTTATGCCATTGTGGAAAGAGCACGCGGTCCTACTCGTGAATCTCGGCTTGCTTCGTTGAATTTCCAAGGGGTTGCGAATTTTACGATCGACCCCTTCGCCTTCGGCTTCGCACCCTTTCTCGCTCCGCAGCCTCCTTTCCCAAGGAGACTCGAGGATTTTCTGTTCGAACACCCACGGTAAACCGGCAAGGAACTCTTCTGTTCCTGTGTAAATTCTAATTAACGAAGAACGTATTGGTGGCTAATTCGAAACATGATAATTGTAAGAAATCCGTAAGAAGCGTCTAACGTTTTGAAGAATTGCCGCATTCCAGGGTTAAGGGAATCGTAAGCAGATCATCACCCTTGAAAATCTCAGTCGTCCTAGGCGCGAGAAGAACGGAGAGACGGGAAGCCGGGGGTGAATCGGCCCCCGGTGGTGTTTGAGTTTGAAATTACGAAGCGAGAGAATTTATATGCCTGTGCCGGCTGTTCTTGCGCGGCGCGGTAGAAGTTTCATTTATTTAAGGCATCTTGCGCGAAAGCGAGAACGAGAGGCAACCCCTTGAGAAGAGGGCGAGTAAAGCTAGGGTTTCGTCGGCTCTCTCTCACCCCCGTCAACTTTCTTCCGACACGTCTGAATTCAACTTGCCATGGGAACGCGAGTGGTCTTTCGCCTTATGTTAGTGTCAGCCAACTGCTTCCCCCCAAGAACGAGGAAAATTGAATCGTCGGAAAAGCGAGCAAGACGAGGGGTTAATTGAAAAATACAGAGGCATTCGTTTCGTTCGCGCCTGATATTCAAAACCATTTGGCTAGCGAACGATGTTCCTTCGCGAAGTTTCAGAATTTCGCAGAGAATCAAACGAAACGATGCGATGGATGAAACGACGGGGGGGTCGAAGCGACTTTGAGCTGGTTGCACGAGAGGTGCCCCAAAGTTCTGTAGGTATCTGGTGCCAGCCTCTCGTACCCGCTGGTTCCTTCGTTTCAACGGAATGCTTCCACCTCCCCTTGCCCATCCTAGCCTGCAGCCGGTGTCCTCTGCCTCGCCGGCTTTGTCTGCAACTTCAGAGCCGGGGTGTTTCGCGATTATAATTTAACGACGCCGGCAACGAAGCGAAGTTGGCCCCAGAAATCAATGCGCGCACCGAGACAAAAGCCAGCGACGACAGAAAGTCGGTGACAGAGTGAGAGGAGGAGAAAGAGGGAGGACAGGCAGTCGAATGAAGGAGGACGAAGACAGAACGCGAGAGTTGAGGACCGAGCGGGGCTGTTTTCAGAGAATATAAGGGAGTCGCGTCTCGAAAGGGAACACCGAATGCTTCGAATGTCTGGATCGAATTGTGTACGAATAGGTTCGAAGTATCTTTTGAAACAAGAGAAAGATCTAGAGACTTTGTTATCTCGATCCTTGGTCAAGATTTTATAATGAAATATGAAACAATAAGAGGATACCCGTTATGCAATGATACGAGACAAGTTTCGTCCGTGGAGGCACGTGAACGTTTATGGTATCGTTAGAGCATTGCACCCTCTTCCGATCCAGCCGCGCGACAGAGACCGCCCCCGATTCCTGAACGACGCGGGCACAGACGCCAAGCATTTGCGGCGGGTATTAAGAAATCTCTGCGGACGTTTGGCGGTCCGCCAACATTCCCGACGAATTAAAATACCGTGCCGAACGTGCGGGGTAGTATCCTCGCATTGCCGAGGTTTTCCTAGCTACCGCAAAAGTGCCGGACGATTTGTCTTCCTAAAGAGGGAAGCCACGTTTCGATAAATTGAGGGAAAAAAACCTTGCGATATTTCACCGTTTCCTTTCACCGCACACATTCGTCTCGGAGCGTGTTTCAACGTCGCTTTAAACGAAGTAACTTGTCGGCTGTTCTCGAAGAAACGTAATCATTGATAAGAGAGAAATTATTTCAACGGCTGACAGAAACAGAAACGGTTGGCGAACGAATAGCGAACAGGCGGTAAGGGCGTTAAGGAAACGGGAGAGACGACGTTTTCAAGGTATTCCAAAGGGGGACGAAAGGGGGGCATAGTACCTGACAGTCACGGACTGGAGCGTTTGCAGACGCGTGTACCCGGCGTACAAAGTCGTAGCTTGCGGCCCTTTCATTTGTAAACGAAATTACAGAATAAGGCTAGCGAGGAGAAGCTGCAGGGCTGAAGAAAGAGAGGAATAGAGAGCTGGCGTCAGCATCGAGCCGACGACGGTTATGCGACGAAGCCGGCGAGGCTAGGCTAGGCGAGGCAAGACGAGGGGGTCTGTTAGAAAAGCGGAGGAAGGGCGGACAGAAGGGGGTGGATTTTACTCCGGAGCAAACGGCTCAAAGGAAATTAAGGAGCATTCACTCTGCGAGAAGCTCCTACGGAGAAATATCTTCTCTCTGAAGAGAGGCAGAGAGAGAGAGAGAGAGAGAAAAGGAAAGGGAGAGAGAACTGAAAGCTATGGACTGGTTTGGAATACGAGAGAATCCGGTCTGAATCTTTCCTTGCAAAGGGCAAGACTTCCCTTTCTCTCTTTAGCGACACAACACTCTACGCGAAGACGGAGAAGCATGCTTTTGATAAATAGTAAACAGTGTCTCTTGCTCTTGAGAAGGTTTCCGTATTTCTTGGAGAAAGATCTGAATGAATTCTAAAAACGATTCATTTTTTATGAACACCCGATTAAGTTATTCTTCATCGATCCAAATGTCGGCCAGTAAAAAGATCAAAAGCATTCATAAATAATTTCGCGGAAGCTTTCTACGTTGCACGAATAAATTGCGTAAAATGAAATAGAAATTTGTTTGTAAAATCAAGTCACACTCGTTTCAGAGATTTTCGCGAGACGCAATTTCTAACGGTAGGAAAAGCAATAAAGGCGACGGGTGGAAGGGTGAATTCCCGATGAAGCTTCGCAAGCAAGGCGGTATGCTTGAGAGCGCTTCCAGAAGCACCATTGCCCTCATCCTGTTTTTCATCCCTTATTTTGCCAGCGGGGGTAGAAGAGGGTCGGTAAGACGGGGGTGGCAGTATGGCCGCTTTACTCCGGGACTCCGCCCTCGAGTGGCTTCCCTCGAAAGGGGAGAGAACTTGGAAAACCTGACTATCCTACAGGGTAGCACAAAGTACGTACTTACGGAGTAGCACGAAACGAAATGGGGGGTGAAGCATTCTATGGCAGGCGGGGGTGGAACGTCGTTTCCTGCGTACCATATACCAAGCGTGCGACGTGCTACGTTTATTTTTATCGCCTCGCTAACTGCGATACGCGCTACATTGACCAATGTTTCGACGAGAATAACGTTTATTTTCAAACGGGAAGAAGTAAGAATTATTCAAAGAAATTTAATTTTCAATGGAACTACAAAGAAAACATTGTATCAATTTACTTAAGAACTACCAGCAATACTTAATACTTTCGAACACAGGTAACACTTTAAAATCTCGACTAACCACCGGGTGCACAGGATTTAACTATTTAACATACGGAAGAGATATTATAATAAGAGTGGTTGAGAAAAATGAAAGTAATACCTGAATTATCCAGTTTCTCGTCAGAGAGTTTCAACAGTCGAAAGAAAGAGGCACCGTCGATCACGGGACAAAATCGTAAACTGACCAAAGGACGAGAACGCATCCAGGAACTGGTCACTTCTGGTGCCCCACTCTTCCTGTTCCCCCTGAGTGACCGGTCAGGCCCGTAGATATGTGGGAAAGAAAACCAGTTTCCGTACGGGATAGCGGGCCAAGGAAGATGGACAATCGACCGAAAGGTCAATCTGATTCGGACACTACAAGGAGTACCGAGGAGAAGAAAAAAAATGTGAAGCGAAGGAGACAAGAAGGAAACCTGTTCCGGGTCAGTCCGTGGCCCTTGTGACCCAGAGAAGGGATTCGAACTTTTACCCTCCCCCCTTTCACCTTAAATCTGACCGCGCAGAGCGGTGGGAAAGCAACAAAGTAACAAGTTCAGTTCAAGATTTGTATCAAAGAAAATTTTAGAAGTAGCAAATATTGAAAAATCATCGCGCGATTTTCAAACACTCTTTGCAGGATATTTTCTATTATTTCCAACGTGATACTGTTTCTGTAGCGAATCCAACGTGGATTTGAAGCGAAACAAGAGTGACCGGATTTGCAGCCGGCCAATTGGGACCAGTTCCAACGAATCGGTTTCGTGGCGCCTATTCGGCAGAGCGTCTAGTTCGACCAGTTTTCAAATATTTCTGGGACAGGACAATGTCCAGTGGAACGGCAGATGCGGGGCTCGATGAAAGAGCCGCACACCCCGAATGAAATTTACTTTTTGATTCAAATGTCTCGCAACGAAAAGGATTTATCGCGAGCCGTGGATCGAGACTTCCTTTTTCCCTTCTTCGACCTTCTTTCTTTACGTCTTACAATCGTCGAAAAACACCGGTCCGCGACGGAAGATCCGTGAAAATAATGGAGAGCAGTTTCTCCGTGAGTTTCGTGTGCCGATACGCCGGAAGGTAATGACGGCTGCAGCAGCGACGTTCATTAAGAAACTTTAATTAAGTTCCATCAAGTTCGGGCGAAACGACGGACGAATAAGAAGTCCTTCTGGCGTGTTAAAATCGACGTCAGACGCGAACCTCCGTCGTCCTGACGTGGATTACTCTAATCGTGACGAAGGATCTAAACGAAGATTCGTGGAAATATGAATACTAATTAAAGGTACCTAATTTAGCAATCAATTGTTGAATAAAAGGGGTTGCATTCTGCGTCGTTCGATTCAGAATCTCTGCGTGGCGTGCAAGGGACCGGTGCATACATTGCTCGATCAAAGGGGTGCATATAACACAGAAGAAAAGAAGAAAAAAAAAATAAAATTGAGCTTCGGAGTAACAGTGTGACCAGTGGTCAAGCAGCCTTTCTTCGTGGCATCATTAGCCCAGCAGTGGCGTCAATAGGCAACAATAAGGCCGAATCTCTCGCGTGCGGTCAGTTGATCATTAATAAGCAATTATTCAACGGCTCATTAGATCGCGCGGACGCATAAGATCGCGACAAAAGGGTCTGGATGGTTGGAAGAAGAGGGACGCGTGTGTGCTGACCACGTAGGTAGACGCGATGCACACGGTCAACTTGTGTGTGACTTTCTATTAGAGCAAGCATCGCCCCAAGGCATAGGCACCCCTCTGTCCGGTCCTTCTGCCGAACTGCCACTGAACTAGTTCCTGGTCATTGGTCACTCCGAGTCAGATTAACACTCAGAGCTATTAATCCATCGAAACTGAATGATGATCGCTAAATCCCGTTTCCTTCTGATCGGACAGTAAAACGATAGTTGTAATCTCGATACTAATAGAAAAATAATTTCTCAAACAAAAATCTTCAAAGATATTCGTTCGACTTCGATGCCCGAGAAGGAGTTGCTAGCTTCTTTATTCCCCTCATCGGATATCTTATTAACGAATGATGCGCAGTCTTCGAGTCTCTTCGAGTCAAGTTAATGAATAGGTCGAGTAAGAGGAGCAGAGACGACATAGAAGGAACGAAGGGAAACAGAAAGGGGGTTTCTGATGATGCAAAAGGCAGAGGGGGGGAGAGGATAACATGCCAGGAGGAAGATAGAAGAGCTAAAGAGAGCAAGAGAGAAAGAGGAACGCGGGGCCAGAAGTGGGCGCATGCGGATGGTAGTGCCGAGCATATAAGTAAAGTTTGTTCGCAACTTATAATAGGGACGTCCCCCCTTGCCGCATCGCGAGAAGGATAAGGTAGCAAGGTTTCAGGCTACGTTACTCTCTCGCAGACGAACTTGCACGGTAATAGACCGTGCAGGTGCAATCTACGGGAGCAGGCAAATTGCAAAGAGGACTAGTGCAGCCAGGACGTGGTTATCGATGCTTTGTGCGCGGCCCTCTGTTGCGCTTCTCCTCGCTACCTCTTGTCTCTACGTGCATCGTTACACGCGCTTGAAAACGCGAGACGTTTCGTAACGAGCAATCTCCTACGAAAATATAACACGTACGGGTCTATATCCTGATGCAAAGAATTCAAAACGTTCGCAAAGAATCTCCGCAGCATCTCTGAAACGTTAAACGCAGCTGCACTTGCATACAACTGCATATTGCATTCGTGATTACGTGGATGGTAATTGGAAATAATGAAACTAAAGTTTTTTGGGGTAGCTAAGGAATTTTAGTGGGGTTAAACGGAGCGTAGAAAAATTATCTGTAAAATCATCTACAGCTAGAAAGGTACCGCCCCTAATGCAAGGGGTACTGTTTGATGCCAGGCCCACAGGGGTACCGAGGCGGGGCCTATTCCAACCCCCCGACTGGAGCGAATCATTGGAAATATGGACGACTAGAAGTGCTGAGAAGAATTCTTCTAAAAGGATTTAATAATCTAAGTTCTGATTAAATCAATTAATTGAAAGTCTCTGCAATCAACAAATGCATCTATTGTAAATTATACTATAAAAAGTTACTAATAATAAAAAGTACTATACTATAAAAAGTATTAATGAATAAAAAGAGAGGAACTTGATTAGAGACATTCATAAATACTCTTTAGAAATAATATGGCACAAATTTTACGTTCTAATAAAAAAATCAAATAATTTTGTATCTAGATTTTCAGTTCATAGTTTTAGCTCGGGGTAGAAAAGTTTCGTGCACGCAGTCGATAGGAAAAAATAGAATGGTCTTTCTATTTCCACTGCAGAGGACGGGGTAGTATAATTCCAGACGGTAATACAGGGTTGGAAAGTTTCCTGTAGGACCAGCAGATGTCGGGACGATTGCGACAGAAAAAACCGGGCTAAAGGGGTGGCATAGGAATTTTTTTCTGTTTTGAAACCGATCCCTCGAGGGTGCAAAAAAATACTCTCATAGGAAACCTATACCCTACTTAATCTAACACCTGTTAAATGGATTTTTCTTTTCTGTACTCGCTTCGTTACATCAAATGAATATTTTAATTGCAGTTTGACGCGTAAACTAAAATTTCATCAGAATGCTAATACATACAGAAACAGTTTAAATAATGAAGGAAAGATTAAGGAAAGATTTGGTTGCTCATTGAGAGAATGCTGGAACCAGTCACTGACAGACGTTCCTGGAAAATATAAAACACACCCTCTCTCCACCCTCCGGCAATTATTCGCAACCCTCGCAGGCACGGCGAATTCTTCGGTTCGCTCGTGCGTCCATCCCCAGACACGGGGAATTATTAAAATCCAGATTGAGACGAGAGCGATCGCTCGCGAAAATCCTGCTCGCAGCCACGAAACAAAACCCGGCGGACCCCTTTCTGCCTGCTAATCGGAATAATCTAGCGGAGAGTAGAGGCCGCCCCGAACCCCTTTCCGCGAGCTCGTTTTCTTTTCCAAACGGCAGAAGATGCTTACGATAACTTCCACTCGGAGAACAATGCTTCTAATTCTAAGGAAACAACCGCGTCCATCCTTAATTGCCAACTTATTCAAAGACGATTTCTACCCCAATATCATCGTTTCGCTTGGAAATCTAACCATGAAATTCGAGTGTGTTTAAATAAATACGAAGAAGCGTAAATTAAGGTTTTCTCGAATTCCTGGTCGAATGTTCGCTTTCCAAGGGCGCTTCCGTCGGTGGCCAGGCGGCTGGAAAGGGCAACAAAAGGAGGATACCCCGGGCAGCTCGCTCGCACAGTTATAAAACGCTTGTTACCGCTGCTGGCTCTCGCAATGTTTAATAATTACAACGGTCGAAGAGGTAAGGTCGGATGGAGCGGACCCGACGGTGAAAGAAACGAGCTGGCTGAACCGGAGAAACTAAGGAAACGATAAAGAAAGACGGAAGGCGCGCGCGGCAACGGCCAGAGGGTGGTTCGAGGGGGGCTTGAAAGCAGGACGAAAGGAACGGACGGTAGCGCGAGGGTGGCTGGCAGGTTGAACAAGAGGGAAAGAAGGCGAGAAAGAGAAGAAGAAATAGAAGAAGAAGAAGAAGAAGAAGAAGAAGAAGAGCCGGGTCGAGGTAAAGTGAAAGAAAGAGAGAGGACCTTGGTAGACTGGAGGTTGGAGGTGGCGAAGAAGGTTCGTGGAAGAGGCAACGCAATGAACGGTACGATGTGCGAGAGCGAGATACAAAGAGGGAGAAAGAAGCGATCTCCGTGGATGTTGGGAGATCTCGTGGCGCGAGAGAGCAGCAGGGAAGGAAAAAGGGGGGAAAATAAATTGAAAGCAAAATTGTACTCGCACAAGAAAATGGAATTATTCCTCGACGCTGTTTCAGCGAGATACGAAGAAAAAGAAGGGTGGCGGCAACGGCGGAGAGTCGAAGGAGAAGCCGGGTAAGGAGGGTAAGGTTGTCCGAGATGGATTCGGGCTCCATTGTGCTCGCAGGAAGAACCGGAAGAGGAGGTGAGGCGGAGGTGGTGTAGCTGGTAGGCAAGCCTGGTCGACGGTGGGTGGCTTGGAGGAGGGGGAGGGCCGGCAACGGTGCCGGGGATGGAAAACTGAAGAAGGCTGCGAGGGAGGTCGGGAGGTACCGTCCGTGTTTCGAGAAATTTTCACCCTCCAGAAAAAAGTAAACTCTGATCCGAGAGAGGCATCTTGGAAACTGGTACACTTTACAACCCTTTCGCGGTTCCACGCGAAAGGACCACGAGAACAGGTCATAGAAGTCA